ATTAGGAAGTTGACAAGAACACGATACGGCTAATTAGAGAAGTTTTCCCAGCAGATATAACCACCGCCCTCTTCGCTCATTCTTTTTCATCAATTTTTTCCAGTGGGAAGGTGTTTTTTACAATCGGAAATACCGCAATGGTTAGTCCATTGAGTTCGGCGTTGGCAAACTGTCTCATGGAAAATTTCGAACAACGGGCTTTAGAGCAAGCGCGGTATGGTAAGACGGTGAAGAGACACTAAACAAATTCCTTTCACATCTGAACTCTAAAGATCCAAAAATCACAATGAACCGAGGAACTCAAGGGGCCCCGTGGGTTGGGCTACCTATCGGGCGCGTTACCAGGTGGCGGATAGGGGAACGGCCAACGGACTGTAGGCCCTGTTCGGGAAGCCAATTTGACCTTACGGACGGGGTCGCCGGACTGCTGGTCAGTGGCAGAAATAAGTAGGGTGAGGGGAACTTAAACTCCCCAAAACCTTTGCAAAACATGCCACCGTGGACCAACTAAGCTAAGGTGTAAGGAATCGTGCCGACAGCTGAATGGCCGTAGGGTGATATGCGATTACGAATGATCCCTGGGCTAGTCTTTGGAACGAATGATCCCTGGGAACTGGGCTAGTCTTGGTCTACACCTGCCAATATAATGTCTCCTAGTGACCTGTCCACCTTCCTGGAAAGGGCAGGATGGACGATGACCTAGGAGGACAACTCCTCGAGAGGATGTACATGTGCTGTGGCTCTACACTCACCCTCCCTACTCTACAGATACAGAACCCAAGGGGCTCTTGCCTTCTTGGACGTTCTCGTGAACATACGTGAAGATGATACATAGAAACACAGACTGCTTGCCAATCCCAACGGATCTATATGTTTCTGGTCTGTAGCTGAAGCTGTCAATCAGAACTTAGCAGAATCCACAATTGCACCACTTATACAACAGACGGTTCAATTGCAACAACAGCCATAGAAAAAGAAAATCTACTGGCTGAACAAGTTGCGTCCCATATATTCTGGGAAGGGCACCACTCTATTCCTACACTAGAATCTACAATTCCGGAAATTACTTCTCGACAGCGTCGTGTCAGGTGAATTTTCAGCTCAATATCAACAAGGCCTTGATGAAGTGCTCGTCATCGTATTTATAAAGTGCGCAAATGAACTGGCACCAGTATTTTGCAGACTTTTCAATCTGTCTTACAAGAAAGGGGTTTTTACTTCTCATTGGAAGATTGCTCGCGTTCGGTCTATTCCCGAAAAGGGCAAGAAAAAGCATCCAAATAACAACAGACCAGTCGCTTCACTATCAGTGATATCAAAGATCATGGAGAAAGCTGTAAACACAAATATCCCCAAATATTTGGAAGGCTTCAATATCTTGAGCGATCATCAATATGGCTTTCGGAAACAAAGATCAACAAGCGACCTTCTATCGTATGTCACCCATATTTGGAATAACCCAATCGAGAAACATTTCATATTTTAAGTGTGCTATATGTTCCTTATATCTTATTTCAATAGATCTTTTTGTCTGTCCATAATATTTTGCATCGCAGTCCTTACATTCAATTCCAGACTTTTTCGAATTCTCGACTTTGTTTTTTGGACTTACCAAAAGGCTCTTTAGTGTATGACTTGTTTTAAAAACCACGTTCATACCTAGTTCCTTGAAAATCTTTCCAAAGTTCTTCGTATATTGGTGGTATGGAACTGAGATGTATTTATCTTGGTTTTTGTCCTTTCTGAAAGTCGAGATTTCGCTCATTCTTAACCTAAACTTCTTCTTTCTTATGTCATCTACAATACCCCACGAAAAACCGTCAAAAGACGATGCACTAAGAAATTCAAAGTGGCTCACTAAGGAATTTGAAACCTTGTCTATTGCGGAACCAGGTTTTAGTATAAAAAATTCATTAGAGTTCATACAACATACAAAAAACATGGTTCTGCAAGAATGTGAGATTTTGGTTTCTTTTGATGTTAGTTCCTTATTTCCTGGTGTCCCAATTCCACAGACCTTGCAATACCTCAGGTAATTACTAGAGAAAAAAAATTTCAATAATAATGAAATCGTTGAATTCGTTCCTCTTATTAATTTGTGTATGAAACAAAATCGGTTCCAGGTAGAAGGTTGCTTTTATGAACAACAGGAAGGAACGGCCATGGGAAACTCCTTGTCCCCCTACCTGGCAGACCTGTTCATGAGCAGATTCGAAATGGAAAAGTCGAAGTATTTTCCTAGGATTTGGCTAAGGTATGTGGATGATATTTTCGCGATATTCGATACCAAAAAATCAAATATTGAGGACTTTGTTTCCATTTTAAATAATAGATCTCCATCAATAAAATTCACGTACGAGTTAGAAAATAAGGGACAACTACCATTTCTTGACGTTTTGGTAATGAGGAGCCAATATGGAGGGTTAGAATACGATATATTAAGAAAAGAAACAAGCACGTACAGGTATATTCCTGACAGTTCACATCACTGTGGACAACACAAACGTGCTGGGTTGAATTTTTCAGTGCATCGTGTTTTGACTTCACCTCTAACACATGATAGGTTCATAAAAGAAAGACGTACAATACAGGAAATAGCAGCCATTAACGGTTTCTCGAGGGGTATTATTGTAGATGACATAATGAAGAAGAAGAATTTTAGGTTAAGAATGAACCAAATCTCGACTTTCAGAAAAAACAAAACAAGATAAATACATCTCAGTTCCATACCACCAATATACGAAGAACTTTGGAAAGATTTTCAAGGAACTAGGTATGAAGGTGGTTTTTAAAACAAGTCATACACTACAGGGCCTTTTGGGAAGTCCAAAAGACAAAGTCGAGAATTTGGAAAAGTCTGGAATGTACGAAATTGAATGTCAAGACTGTGATGCAAAATATTATGGACAGACAAAAAAAACTAATAAAGTAAGATATAAGGAATACATAGCACACTTAAAATATGAAAGACCTGAGAAATCAGCAGTCGCCCATCATAGTTTGTAACAAAACCATTCCATAGACTTCAGTTAATTAAGATTAGTTAGACAAGTTAACAACAACAGGCAACTAGATGTCTATAAGAGTTTAGAAATAAGTAAACATAATAATAGTATGAATAACGATGACAGACTTATACCAAAGAGCATACTTAATAGCTTGTTAAAATAATATTGTTGGGTTTACTGATTACTACATAAAGACACATTGCAAAAATAAATTTAGATAGGCAATATTGTGAAATTAATTTTTATATAGCCGAAAATTGTTTTATATACAGCTATAACAGTTGAACATATATTTTAAAATAATAGATAAGGCAAAATTGTAAAATTAATTTAGGTTGGTATACCTGTATGGGTGGTACACCTGGATGGTTTACCTGTATGGGATACCTATATAGCATAAATAGCGTTAGCTTCGCGTTAGTTTCTAGTTCAATCTTCCTCTTTGAAGATGATCACTTGGTGATCGAAACACGTGTCGAGGTGTTGAAAATTAAGATTTGGTGTTGGGAAAAAACTCCAGTAATATTCAAAAAAAAATATCAAAAATACAACAATTAGTTCGTAGGACCGTAGAACACTACTCAAATTTGTAAAAACTTGTAGCATTATAATACATTATGATTTCAGTTTCACCGATACTCGGATGAAAGGTTTTAAAGTAACCCGGTTTCCTTCTATCGGTTTCGAATAAAATGAAGTGAATTAAATGTTGCGAAACTGAGATGGATTTTTGAAATGAGTGGGTTAATTTTCAGACACCTCAAAGTGGCGGTGTCGCGTCGGTACGCATAGCGCTAAAAAAATTTAAGTGCGGCCTGGGTCGAGTGGCACCTCGTTTTGAACACGTTTAACGGTGTTACAATGAAGTGTAATTAGAGGAAGGGTGTTGGAAACGACCTGTATTCAGCTCCTGGAATTATTCATTAAATTGCCGATGGTAAAATTGCTCTTTTATGCTGTAAAATCAGACGAAGGATCCTATTTTGTATCAAACGCAAAATTATTGAGTCGTTCATTTTTATATGATAGTTGGTAGTGAAACTCGCTGAAATTTGGGTTTTGTAATCGAAATAACTGCTACATTCGATGGAATTACATGATGGCCAACGGAAAATGTAAAACATTTCAAGTTTGTTTGTTAAGAGGCCAAGTTTTGACCCAAAACCTCAACACCTCCAAGCAAGAGTTACTACCCCAAATTAGGGAATTTGAACCTTAAATTAGGTATTTTTTTTATGTTCAAGAAGTTTAATCTTTATCGGTCGTTTGATCGGTCATCAGAGATAAAAACTCCGGATATACAGGGTGTAACTAAATAATTGTAAAACATTCAAGGACGTAATTCCTTATCAAAAAAAAGATAGGATCTTTCATATCAAGAAATTTGATTGGAGCATATTCTTTATATGAAAGATCCTATCTTTTTTTCGATGAGAAATCACCTCCTTAAATGTTCTACACTTATTCAGTTACACCCTGTATAAACCTCAGAAGAAGGTAGCCTCTCGCGTCAGCGAAACGTCAGGAAGAAATTACAAAAATCGACGGCCTTTAAACTGACACATCATAGTAATGTTTTGAGAATATGAAAAGTATCAATCTACATGCAGTCAATCAAATATTCTATACTGAAAGGCAAAACAAATTTTATTAATGACAATTTTTCATTCAGTGTGTGTTTTGGAAGGGTGTAGTTGATCGCTTCGATTGTCGTTACTGGGCCGATAGCAATACAGGTATATCCACGTTGTGAACTAACAAAACTTCCAGTATTTGAACATGTAGAATAATATTTTCGGAAATCCCTTTTTGGATCCGTTGTTTTCCTGGCAGATCTGCCTTGCGCTGTTTTCAGGAGTCTAACCTGTATATGAGTACTAAGAAAACTATCGAAGAATTTGTTTGACAAGAAAATGGTTCTATCAACGTCACAAACAACAATAAATTCCACAGCACAACATCTACAACAGTACAGAACTGAAAAATACTGACCTGTATCGCATTAGGCCACAAACAGGAAATGTTGTAGTTGTAAGAGTTCCTGGAAATGGCTGATGGAGTGGACCTGACTCCGCAGAGGGTCTTGGATGGAGCCGACTTTCCGTACTGAGCAATTTCGATGGATATACTTGTTCCTGGCGGGCATTTCAAGGTCACCAATTCGTCGTCGCAACCAGCTCGTTGGTATGTCCTCAGAGTTCCTGATAATAAAGCTGGCGTTCGTGAATGGAGTTATCAGGGAAACCACCACCATAGAAAGAAGGAAAGTGCTAGATGTTAGTAAAAGAAACCATCACCAGTTAGGAACTTAACACTAGGTACTTGAAATTATCTCAATTTGGGCGAAGTCTGTTTTGATGATATATGCCTTATATAATAGATTTCTCATCGATTGCCATATGTGGAAAACTATTTTTTAATTTTATCAGTGAAATTATTTTATCTTCAAAGGACACAGTTCTGGAATTGTAGAAAATATATATATGATGTAAATTAAGGTTATGAATATCTGTCCTTTATTTTATTTTATTGTAAAGATATGGGGGACACTGTTTATTGATTTCTGCATGGGTTAAAATGAGAAATGTTTCTTATATTTCACAAATCAAAAGCAATTTGCCAAAATCAAAGAACATCAGCTAAAATGAAAGCATATAAATTTATGTAAAATAACTGTCACATGAAGTTTATTGAATTTTCAATTTTGAAGCCATGAGTGTTGTACGATTCGTATTTTACGTTTAATCACAGAAGAGAGAATGAATCTCATAGAGGTTATTTTTTTGTTTACCACAAATATTGTAAATAACAAAAACATTTGCTACTGGAACTCGAACTAGAAGACATACATTCTACTCAATATTCTTTGTTTATCTCTATTCACCATGCTCACACTCACTATGTTGAACTTTTTGACCACTAAATTTTGTTTCCTCTACGAAAAAACTCCTAAATTGCCTTGGATTCATTTGGAAAAACCGTCTTGTGGAGTTGTTTTCAGAAGGCCATTCTTTAAATGAAAGAGATCTTATGAATTATGTTGAACTTCGAAATGACGGGCAACTGTATTTTGCTATGTACTTCTGACATATATCGCCCTAGGTGGAATCAAGCGGGCTAAGCCAGGCAAACACTTTCCGGTGAAAGTATCTTTGAAAAATAGACAGATGTTTGAGTCTTCAACTCAGAATAATCTCAGGGATGGACTTATATATCAGCAATATTCTAAAAATGTATGATTTGAGATTTACAATACTCGAAACATCTGACTTTGCTACTTCAGAAATTTGATTGTGCCAAGACATATTGATAGAAGCTAGCGGAATTATGTGCCCTTGGTCACATTTACCTCTTTGATGCTTGTCTTCTCATAGCATTGCATTCTGCTTGGCTTCTCTCACCCTGAACCAAAATTCGTTGAAGATCATCATTAGGACATGTGTGCTGTCTTCAGCAGAGCAAAAAAAGCAGTAGAGCTGATTTTCAGCGCGTTGTTAAAGCATACTGATGAGATCAAGGAAAGTTATCATGGATGATGAGAAGACGAGAAGACGAGTACAAACACGCCTTTGAATTCTTAATTCTTACAAACAGTAGCACTAGAATACAGAAAATGATACACATTTTGGCAGATGGGACTAAAGTGACCTTGATCTGTATTGGGTAATGAGCCGGGCGTTTGATACTAATAATCACAATCTTTCGTTAAGCATTTTGTATTATAATGGTTTTTCTGCCAACGCTTTTGCATTATTGACGGACTATTTGAAAAATAGACAGCAACTGGTTAGTATAGAGGGACACAACTCAGATATCTTATATCTCGAATCAGGGGTACCTCAAGGATCCATTCTCGGCCCTTTATTGTTCTCTGTATATACATCCAACTTACTACAAGCTCTTCACACTTGTCAGATGCATTTATATGCTGATGATACTCAAGTATACCACAGCTTTCCGGCGAAAACCGCACACAATGCTTGTGGCATTATCAATGCAGATATAAATAGATTTGTTGAATTAGCAACGGACCACTGTTTATTCATGAACCCTAGTAAATCAAATGTAATGATCTTTGGTCCAAAATTTCATCGTTCCATAGTGAATAACTCTGTAAATATTTGCATTCGAAATGAGCCACTAGATATTGTTAGTGAAGCAAAAGGTCTTGGTGTTTCGATGGATGTAGATCTGAGATTTGGAAAATTTATAAATAACCTCTTACAACGTGCCTATTCTGCACTAAAAAGCATTTATGGTAACCGACATATTCTGCCTTATCATGTGAAAAAGTCCTTATGTGAATGTTTAGTGCTTTCAGTTTTCAATTATGCGGATGTTCTTTATGGCCCATGTTGATCAATCAATGCAAAAATAATATTCAAAAAGTTCAAAACTCTTGCCTTAGGTTACTTTTTGGTATTGGCCGACAACACAGGATCTCATATAAACTTCAAGAAATTGTTATAGGAGAAATATTGATGAAAGCTTGAGGGAAACTGTATTATTTATAGAAATGGAAGATCTGGAATTCAAAAAAACTATGGTATTAATGTTAATTTATATCCACCATTGAGATATTCATGAAATCAATCAATGAAATGATACGCCTAGTTCTTCAATATTTTTTTCTGCCAGTAAATTTCCTTTTGTATCAGAAAGAGATTGATAACTGTGTGAAGGAATAATTAGGTACTATTGTTCTGAGCTACATATCTGCGATATGATAATTCTGATGAGTAGAATGTGTGGCATGGCACTGTCCCAGATTCAGAATTAGGATTGTGCCTGTCACCCTCTCAGCGATCAGGCTCTCTTTGGTTAATATATGCGCTGGGCCCGGATACATGTACCCTGTCTCACCGTGAATTTATTGTGCCCGCTTTACTGGCTTTTTGTTAAAATTCTCACTGCTCCTGTTATGTTGGAACCAAGCTGGATTTTCTCGATATGAGCTAACACTGAGACAAATCGAATTTATCAATTGATTTGCCTATATCTTCCTCAGACATACTATGTCATTTTTCACTGTTGTACCTAGCGATTCTGTTCCTGCAGCATGTTCATTGATTTACGTCAGTTAACCCTAGTCAGGACCGGCTCAGAAATGTTAGATAAGTACTTACGAATTTCTGAGAAGAATTTTAATATTTCGAGTTATGAAGATGTTCCAAACAACACCAAAAATACGGATAAACTGGTTTACGACCCGTGGGTTGGGCTACCTAACGGTCGCGTCCCCTGGTGGCGGATATAGGAACGGCCAGGGGACTGGAGGCCCTGTCCGGGAAGCCAATGTGGCCTGACGGACGCGGAGTCGCCGGATTCCTGATCAGTGGCAGAAATAAGTAGGGTGAGGAGAAGTAAAACCCCCCAAAAGCCTTTGAAAAATAGCTGAATGGCCACAGGGTGATATGCGGTCACGAACGTTCCCCTTGGGGAACTGGGCGAAACCTCATTGTGATCAGCCTACCTCTGGTAATGCGGGGCTCTGCCAGAGTTGACCAACTCTTCCCGTGCTACTCGTCGAAACACACATGAATGAAACAACACAAAAACAGAAACAACAAAAACAAAAACCAATTCCAAGGCTGGACAGAAGTGCTCACCTCAATCTATGGCGGTGGCTGGGGATGAACAGAAATGTCAAGCACAATCTAACGCTTGGAATGAGCCTGGACATAACAGATCACCTCCAACAGCAACGGCACCCGCGGCGAGCGCCAAGAGCTCCGCCTTGAATAAAAGCAAGGAACCGGCTGCCCCTGCAGGAAAGCTCCCTCACTTGTGGACCTCCACGGAGGGAATCCTAAGAAGGTTGAAAAAGCCGCGCAACGACAGTAATATCGCTTCGCAGAGGCCTCCGTGAGACACCTCAAGGTTGCCAATGAGAGTGTGTGTTCGGCGGGTCTTGACCTACACCTGCCAATATAAAGGAGATGTCTCCTAGTGACCTGTTCAACTTCCTGGGAAGGACAAGATGGAAGATGGCCTAGGAGGACAACTCCTCGGGAGGATGTACAATGGGTCACATGGGGCCAAGTGCTGTGGTCTTACACTCACCCTCCTTACTCTACAGATCCAGAAACTGATTCACAAGATCCTAGAGAGATCTTTGATTATAAACATAATATTGAATCTACAACATACGAATAGAAACGAATTGTAAGGAAAATATATCCACATATTACCCAACATAATGATATAGCTGAAATGTTAACACAGACATTCAGCTTCTCGTATATATTGTGTATACGAAATATACAAAGTCATTTATTTATTGATTTTCAGCAAACAACCATATTATTTTCCGTTTCATATTCACTTTCCTCTCATGAGTTTTGATTTTCTATCGCAATCCCCTCATTCCCGCTTTAGGAATCACACGTTACAGGGTAAGACTTCGTTAGTCCTTAGCTCGCACAAGTTTCGACTTCTGAGGGTTGCCGTTCGTAGGGGTGCGGCAGCTGGTTAACGGAAAAACAATTTTTTCAAACATATATATGTGAATGAATTTAGTAACACATATTCACGCCCATATCAGATTCCCTGATTTCAGTATGGTCTTTTATTTATTTCCTGAAAAGGATTAACGATTATACAACTTTGTGGCATTTGGAAATGAAAATCATTTTCATTCTCATCTTTGAGTTGTCCGTTTTCATGTCATATGTTTTGCATTCAAAAATATACTCTTATGTTCATAATTTATTTTTTGAAGAGAAAACTTTTATTGGAAAAAGAAAGTAATACAAATTATGAAATTATGAAACAACAACATTGATCCATTGATTCCAGTGGCGCATTTGCTTTTTCGACTGCAGGAAAACCCGAAAAAACCTTCAGCACCACATTATCTGACGATTCCAATCTGCCAATGTCATCTTTTTCATAAAATAAAATGTAGGGTGTCTCCAGAGGCTCCAATATATCAAGATATTGCCAGAATATTTAGTCGAAATTAAACCAGTCCGTTTCGGTTTTGACCAATGCGTAATTATGACCAGATTCAATGCCAGAACCACAGTGAACAATTACTGCATGAAGATTATAATAGTGGTCTGCTAGATTGAAGTGTTCATCTATTTGGAACCTTCGTAAGAGTTTGGTGCTTCCATCAGAGGTTGAGTCATGTTTGAAGATCATCATTGTTATTATTTCATTGACTGGTGCCACAGCTATACTTGTTGTCTTATGATAGCCAGTTAGTTTG